TCCTCCTCCTCCTCCTCCTCCTCCTCCTCCTCCTCCTCCTCCTCCTCCTCCTCCCCCCACCAAACATCTCGGACAGCCACGACATGCGCCCTCACACGGCGGCCGCGCGGCGGGGGCCAAGGCTGGGCAGCGCTGCGGGTCCGGGGGCAGGCCCGTGCAGCCCACTGTAACGAGCGGGAAGGACTCTCGATGCAGCCGAAGCCGCATGTTGCACTCATCGTGTGGGCGAACAAACGTCGACATAAACATAACAACTCAGAGGTCCGCGCCGATTCCTCGGATCGGCGCTGGGGCCCCCTGGCGGCGCATCCGGCGCCGCCCCCGGCGCGCTCCGCGCGCCACGGAGGGGGGTCCAGCGCCGATCCGAGAATTCCGCGCGGACCTCCGAGTTGTTCTGGTTATGTCAGTGTTTGTTCCCCCGTCGTGCAACCCAAGCTGGACTGGCCCTGCGGGGCCGTCGCGTCGGAGGGCACTCGTCCCAGGGCAGCACTCGCAGAGCACTCCTCCTCCTCCTCCTCCTCCTCCTCCTCCTCCTCCTCCTTCGCCTGCTCCTCCTCCTCCTGCAGCCAGGACTTGGTGATACGGTCCACTTTGGTTCCGCCCGGGGCTCGAGGCTCCTTGTCCCTCCACGGGACCCCCCCCAGCGCTCCTCATGCATCTGGGCGGCCGTCTCTCGTTTCTCTCCGAGGCTGGTGATGGCAAATGTTTGGCTGCGCTCCCCCACAGGTGGTGGAAGAGAGCGACGACGAGGAGGACGGCGAGGCGCAGCCTGCGATCCCGGGGCCCTCGGCGCAAGTCTCCGAGGATCCGTTCCCACAGCTCAAAGTCGACAGGAGCTCTCAGGGCGTCGAGCACGCGAAGCAACAGGGCAACGGCCTCTTCGCGAAAGGCCTGTTCGAGGACTCCGTGAGTTGGTTCTCGAAGGGCATCTGGCTCGCAGGGCCTGAGCACAAGCTTGGGGTCTCTTCCGAGTTGCAGTCCATCTTGCACTCCAATCGCGCCTTTGCTCTCATCAAGCTCCAGAGATGGGGAGAGGCGGAGGCCGACTGCTCGAAGGCCATCGGCCTGAACAGCCGCAACGTCAAGGCGCGGTACCGGAGGGCCATGGCTCGATACGAGCTTGCGCTGCCAGATGCCGCGCTGGAAGACGTGGTGCAGGTGATAGACGAGCTGCCCGAGGGCCCAGGCAGGGTGGAGGCGGAGGAGCTGCGCTGGAAGCTGGAGGCCGCGAGCAGGCAGCAGAGCCCTTCAGGCTGGGGGCGGCTGGGCGCGGCATCCAAGATGGGAGGAACCTCGACTGAGCTCTGGATGGAGTCAGGGGAACTCGCCCTCCTCACTCATCTCTCCGCCCCACACCTCCCTCTCATGCCTCCTCTTCCCTCCAGCTTCCTCTTCCCTCCTGTTTTTCACGTCGTTCCTCCTCCCTCCTCATTCCTTCACCGTCTTCCTCCTCCGTCCTTCGTCTCTCCTCCTCCCTCCTTTCCCCCCCGTCCTCCCTCCTGGCAGCGAGGGGGTGGTGGGGGAGAGGGTCCCCGCCTGGCGCTCCAATGGCCTGGGAGGGAGACAGCCTACCGGCCAGAGGGTGCGGCCTCATTGCTCATACACGCATTTTCTGTGGTCCGCGGACGACAGCGAAGGGGCGTCGGTCGAGCATACGGCGGGGCGCACCAGAGCGAGTTGAGCCACGGAGAGCGGGAGGACGGAAGGGGCGGAGCAGAAGGAGGCTGTTCAGCTCATGCACTTCTTCACGGGCGTGCCGAGGACGTGCAGCCACGTGGGGAACCCACACCGAAGGAAGAGGCCACATCTCGTTGCTCACACGCGCCGTGCGTTGGGCGCTGGCGAGGGCCCAGGCCTCCCTGTGTGGGGTCGGAGGATCGCGTGCCGCACCGCCGGACTGCGGCGCGATGTCCAGAGCCCGGCTCCCTCCGTCCTTCTGGGCTCAAGGGACGGGGTCAGTGCAAACGGGGGTCAGCCTGGGCGCCGGATCTTGCAGGATCCTGCAGAGACAGGGCTGCACTGACCCGGGTTTGGGTGCAGGATCCTGCAGGATTTTGCAGGATCTTGCAGCATGGTGCAAGGCCTGACTGACCCGGGTCTGAATTGACCCAGGTCAGTCGATCCTCAAAATCTTGGGGGGCAATGCTAGGGGGATGGACTGGCACAGGAGGCGAGACATCGACGCTCTCCTTCGCCAACCTCGCCCGGCTCAACTCGCCTTCCAGCTCCCGCACCGACTCCTCCGATCCGTGCGCCAGACAGGCCCCCCAGAGCCAACCCAGAGACTTGCGCTCGCAGCGCCCTCCGCCTTCTCGGCAACGCTCTCGCAAACTTGAGGGGCAACGATAGGGGGGACTGGCACAGGGGGGGCAGACATCGACCTGGACTCGGCGATACATCGCCGATAGATCGGCGATGGGCCTCCGATAGCGAGTCCGAACGTTCCTAAGCGGGGTGGGGCTATCTAAGAACCCTGTCGGCGATCAGTGGGCGATTGGGAGTCGATGCGCCCCCCCTACGCCTACGCCCCCCTATCGTTGCCCCTGACATCCCAACGTCGCCCCTGTATCGGCGATGCGGTTCGGGTGGACGCCGACGGAGGGCGACTGACGGGAGGTGCAGAAATGTTGTTTTGGGTTCAGCGCCGGCGGGCAGTTTGGGGCCACTGTGACACACGTTTAGGGCTACCCGTGTGCTCCGACTGCCGCCCAGATGTTCTTAACGCTTCGCGCATGATCCCCACCCCCGAACGCTTAGAGCTCTCTTGGGGCCTCTTGCCGGCGCTCATTGGAGGCCTCGGGGAGCGTCTTGGGCGCCTCTGCGGGGCCTCTCGGGGCCTCTTCGGGGCCGCTTGGGGGCCTCTTGGGGGCCTCTTGGGGGCCTCTTGGGGGCCTCGTGGGGGCCTCTTTGTCGCCTCTCGTGGCCCTCTTGAGGCTCTCTTGGGAGCGTTTCGGGCCGCCTTGGGGCCATCCTGAAGGCTAACTATCTATCAAAACAGGATGGGTTACTGAGCCGTGCCACCTGAGGACACCAAATTGGGTCCGAAATTTGTAGTAAAAACCATAAGTTTGGCCTTGTCGCTGAGGCCATCTTGGACGCTCTGACCGCTCGCGAGATCCCCAGTCCAGACCCAGACCTAGGGGACGGCTTGGAGGAGGAGGTGTCAAGCCACCCCAAGCCGCAAGCCGTGTCGCTCACTCCCACCCGCCCTCCCAACACATAGGCAGCATCCGATCCTTCCTGTGGCCCCGATCCCTATGAATTCATGAGTTAGGGCCCCCTCGGAAAAGCAGTACCAAGCAAGCATACAGTGAGGTGGAGCCCGCAGCACTAGTACTAATTTTCACAGACCCGGCCAGCGGGGGGCCACAGAAAGGCGTTCCAACGAATAAGCACTCGCAATTGTGATGTGTATCGGGGTTCCTGTGATGTGCATAGCGGGTTTGGGGGTGCTTAGGAGGAGGACGACGATGAAAAGGAGGAGGAGGAGGAGTAGGAGGAGGGGGAGGATAGCAGGAGGAGGATGAGGATGAAGACGAGGAGGAGGAGGATGAGGAGAAGGAGGCGGAGGGCGCCAGGTAGGGCGGGAGGGAGGTCGTTAGGGACGGGCCTTCCTTAAGCCAGGTGGCCCAGGATCGAAGCCGAGCGCCCGCGGCAGTTCGACGGAGCGGGGGCCCCTTGACCGGAAGACGGGGTTGGGACCCCCGAGAGCGCAGCCCATCCCTCGTCCCATCTCCGCCGCTGGCTGGAGGCGGGGGATGGGCCGCTGGGCCCCAGGGCGGTTGCACGGCGCGCACTCCGAGCCGCTCGCGCGGAGGCCGTTTTGCCCTCGACGGGCGCGCCGACGCGGTCCAAGAGGGCACCGGGGTCGGCACAGAGGGCAGCTCGAGTTGCACCGCGCGTCGCCGGAGGGCTTCCGATGACGGCCGGTGCGAAGCAGCGTCGACGCGCCCAGAGCGCCTCGTTGGCCACCCTTCAGGAGGGAGAAAAACACACAGACACAATTCATCGTTAATCGTCGATCCCCCAGATGGGGGGGAAGACGAAAATCCAAAAAATATGGGAAAATATTCGGAATCCTGTTATTTGTGTGTATATATTTGTGTGTCCCAGGGCCCCTTCAACCCTGCAAGCCGCGCTTGGATGGGCCCTCGATGAGCCCCTTTTCACCGAGCGCGCTCCGCCACTCGCAGAGTGCCGACTCGCAAACGTCAGGAAAAAACAACACACGTCCTCCTCTACGTAACGGATCGTGGATCCCTCGTGGCTGATCCAGGCCATTTGCGAGTAGCTACTTTGCGAGTAGTGGAACGCGCTTGCCCACCTCGGACACGGAAGCCGCCCGCAGAGCTCCTTGCAAGGTCTTGCCGGCCTGCATGGCCCTGGCCGTGGGCTCAGCCGCGCTCTGGCGCCCACGCTGTGAGGCCTGCTCCCGCTCGGCTGCGCGCGACCTCTCCGCCGCAGGCTTGCATTCGCCGTCGGCCAGCGGGCTGCCCGAGCTCGTCGCCGAGCTTCGCCGACGCCGCGAGGGCCTGCTCCACCACCTGAGGAAAAGTCAAAAATAGTCAAACAATAGTCTGGGGACGATCTTCCGGTTGTTTGACAATTGCTGAGCATGTTTTGACTGTGTTCGATTTTTCCTCAAATCCGCCCGTAGGACGACATGCCCGACCTAATGGTGTCGTCCTTGTCCCTCTCGCCGAATTTGTTCTGCAGCTTCGCCTCCTGCAGAGAGTGGCGCATTGTGAAGCAGGGGTGCACGAGGCCGTACTTCGCATGGAAGCCGCCCTCGTGGAAGTCCGAGCCGAAGGCCTTGAGGATGACGTGGTTGACGATTTTCCCCAAGATCCTGATGTTTGTCCTTACGTGAAGCTCGCAACCACATTGAGCGTGGGTGTGTCCAGCCAGTCTAGGGTGGGCTGCACCGCCACCTCGATCTGAACTCTATCACCTTTCTCGAAGTGGCCCAGCAGCTTCTCATCCTGCAGGATGCCACGGATGGTGAGGCAGTAGTTATCAAGGCCGCACGTCCTTGCTAGAGTCGTGTTGGAAGGCCTTGGGGTGAGACGAGCTGACGGCGTCCTCCAGCTCCTCGTGCTTGCCCTTGTAGCCTGTGACGTCCGAGCCCGTGGACGAGTCCAGCAGGTCAGGGTGTGCTGCGCCGCCTTCTCGATCTTCTCCCTGTCTCCGAACGCGAGCTTCTTCAGCAGCTTCTCATCCCGCATGATGCCGCGGACGGTGAAGCAATAGTTCATGAGGCCGTACTTTGCAGCGAAGGCGTCCTCGAATTCAACCTTCTCCAATTCCACGCCATCGCCACCAACGGTCTCGCACTGGAAGCCGTCCGCGTCGCTGGCGCCCGTGGAGCACTCCGCCTGCGTCTCCGCCGGCACCTCAGCGTGCCGTTCGATCGCCTCGGCAGGCACCCCGGCGCCCGCCCGCGGGTGCAGGCCGAAGGCCGAGACGGCGTCGAGAGCCCGCCAGCTCCGCTCCCTGTGGGCCGGGAGCCGGCGACCACATCGGCTCGGAGCTGAGGATTGCAAAAAAACCGAAGGATTGCAAAAAAACCCAGGATTGCAAAAAAAAACCAAGGATTGCAAAAAAACCCAGGATTGCAAAAAAACCAGGATCCCTCGGCCAGGCTCTCGCCGCCAAGGAGCCTCCCGAGCTCCGCGGCACCACGGAGCAGCGGCCCTGCTCCGCGCATCGCGCGCAGGCCTCGCCTCGGCCCCCTCGCCGCACGCGGGACCCAGGGGCACCCGTGCGCATGCCCTTGACCTCAGCGTCGGCGTCGCTCGCGGGCGCCAGGGCGGCCTCGGCCGAGCTCTTCCCCGCCCGCGACGCCGTAAGGTACAGCATGAGCTTGGCCGAGCTCTTCCACGCAGGGGAGCGTGGCCGCCGCCGTGCCTGACGACCACACCGCCTCGTCCGCCGCGCGCCGTGGCAGGCCGAGAGGGGCGAGCCGCTTGAGCCCAAATGGCTACGGAGGGAGGAGGGAGGAGGGAGGAGAAGAGTGAGGAGAAGAGGGAGTGGAGGAGGAGGAGGAGGAGGAGGAGGAGGAGGAGGAGGAGGAGGAGGAGGAGGAGGAAGGAGGGGAGAACGAATGGCAAGTTGCTTCTCGCTTGCGTACGCGTCAAAGTGACGACGTGCTTTCGCCGAAGATGGTTGCTGCAGCGATGCGCACATGCAACCGTTTTGGTGTGACCACTACTTGTCCATCTGTGGTCACTGATCGTTGCGTGTGGCCACTATGGTGCGCAGTATTTTTTCCGTGTGGCCACTACGGTGCCCATTACGTCCGCTTGCCCTGTCGGAGAATGTGTGTTCCGACGTCGTCTCAGCACCTTCCGCAGCGTTGCTTTTCTCTGGTGTGATTGGTCCGAATCGACTCTGGACACCATGGCGGTCACCGTGTAGAGGCGCCCGGCGCGCGGCCCGCGAGGCAGGTCGTTCGGTTCTCGGGTGCTCGGTGCTCTCAGGTTATCGATGCCTCCTGCAGAGGCCCCCTTCCCCCCCGCGCTGCAGGGATCGGGCCGGACGAAAAGGGGGGGATAGGGAAATGGGGGGGGTGCGAAATTTGCGGCATGCAGCTGGTTTCGGCTCCACCGAGGGGCCCATTCCTCGGTACATAGCCGCCTCCGGCGCTGAGAGGCGCCCGGAAAATCAGCTACGTGAGCTGATTCCCAACCCCCCCCTTTGCTATCCCCCCCTTTCGCCCGGCCCGAAAGGAGGTCGCACCAGGGTCAGCTCTGCGTCAACCGTCGCCAGCCCTTCATCTGGCTCGCTCGCGACTGAGGCGCCCAAGGCTTGTGAGCCCGCCAGTCCCGCCGCGGCGGCGGCGCGGTTCGGCGGAACCCCGGGGTCGGCGCGAAGATCTCCTCGGTGCGAGGGGTAAAACAAGAGGTCGTTTCCTCGGACTGGTTTCGCTTCGGATATGCTTGCGCATGGCGTGGGCGTGTGCCCCCCTCCTTTCTGCCACGAGCGAGAACCCCTTGCTGTGGACGCGACGCGTCGGCAGTGCAGGCGACGCAACGACCGCCCCGCCAACGGACGAAGTCCAGTACCAAAACATTGAACTCGTGGGCACAGCTGCGTGGCGCACGGACCTTCCCGCGGTCGAGGTCTGCGACAGGCTCCCAGCCGTGCCGAGTGCACTGTGCGTTCCATGCTTGTCAGGGAGGGTGCGCCTGCACGGAGCAGCCGCTACGAGGGCACCCTCCGCCGCCCCCCCTGTCGAAAGGAAGCGAAAACGATGAAACATGACTGCGGGGGGCCCGCGCAGGAGCCGGGTACCGCCACAGTGTGTACGGGCGGTGGGTCTGCGCGGAGTGGCCGATGCGACGGCGCCGCCGCCATCCCTGCCCCAAAACCAACGCGGAGGGATCGCGGGGCGCCCGCGCGCGGTCCATGTTGCGCTGAACAGTGCACATTGCATGGCGTTTTGGGAGGGGGTGCGGGCCTGCGCAAGTCGGACGAGATGAGGGCGTGCCCGCCGTCCCTGTCAAAAGCCAAGCTGAGTGATCGTGGGGCGCTCGCGCACGTTCCAAACACTGGCGCCCAGTGTGTTGCGCATTGTGCTTTGACAGGGATGGCAGGCTGCACCGCGGGAAATGTAAGGGCATCCCCGCCGTTCCTGACAACGCCAGATGCAAAGTGAGTACGGGGTGCCCGCGCACGGTTTATATGTTGCTGCGAAGCGTACATAATTTTGTGTTCGGGATGGCGGGGAGGAGGGTGTCATTGACCCGGGTGTGTCGTCGGTCGGGTAGTGGGGGGGCATACTAAGAAGGAGTAGTGATAGACCTCACATCCCTGAGCGGGCACAAGGGGGGGTATGAAAGAGATAACGCTGTAAACCACCTCGGCCCAGAGGGCTGGTGGGATTTGAGAACCGTTTCGCTCATTCCACAGTTTGCACTTGCAGGCCCGTGGCTGCTGAGGGGGTGCTGGGTGATAGTAGTTTTCCTGAACTGTCGCGTGAACTTTGTATAGGGCAGCAGAAGTGACAGGGTAAGCGCAGTGCAACATTCAACGGAGCACGTTTCCTCGTATTTTCACACGGGAAAAGTTCGCGACGCTTAAGCTCCTGAAGGATCACCCAGGGGCGTTTCGGATCTGATTTGGCGCCGTATTAACTACGGCTCTCTCGGGCGTGGTTGGTTTCTTCGATTGCTACCCATCCGTCAGTTGTGTTGCCCCCTGTGTCGCGGTGTGTTGGGCTCCAGTCGTCATTATTTGTATTCTCTGGGCGGTCTTTTCGGAACCACCGCGGAGACGGAGAAATTCGTCCGCGTGGAGGGCACAGGCAGCAGAGAGGAGAACGAATGAGGACGAATGAAGGGAAAATCAAAGGGACGAGGGAGATGGACAGCGGTGGACGGATGCGGACGGATGTGGGGGTGACAAGCGAGTGGCGGAGGATGTTGGAGGAGGGCGGAGGAAGGGAGGCGAACTGAGAGGGGGCGCCGGGAAATTTGAAGATTGCCCAGGAGGCACCAGGCAGCCCCAGGATGGCCTAGGAACCCAAGACTTCTCTCATGAGACCCAACAAGAGCAGGAAAGACACCCCAGAAAGTATCAGGAAACCCTGGGATGTACCAGGAGGCACCAGCAACGCCAAGGAATCCCAAGCATTGCCCAGGAGGCCCTGGGAGGCTCTAGGGGACTCCAGCAATGCCCAGACAGGCTGGGAGAGGATGCAGATCGTCGAGAACAACGACAGCGAAAAGCCGGAGGACGATCGAGGCCCGCACCCCGACCTTGCGGTGGAGCTCACAGCCGAGGGAATCGAGAAGGCGAAGCAGCAGGGGAACAAGCTGTTCGCCTCCGGCTCCATCGAGGAGTCCGCCAGGTGGTTCTCCCAGTGCATCTGGGCTGCGGAGAGCAAGTCCGTCCTGGGCCTTCCGCCAGACTTTGTTTCCGTTCTGCGCTCCAACAGGGCCTTCGCCTACGTCAAGCTCGAGAGGTGGGCCGACGCCGAGGACGACAGCTCCTCGGCTTTGAAGCTGAACCCTGGGAACACGAAAGCGCTGTACCGCCGGGCCAAAGCGAGGAAGGAACTGGGCAAGGCGCAGGCGGCCTGGCAGGACGTCGAAGCTCTGCTGAAGGCCCTGCCAGCCGACGCCACTGGCAGGGGCGACGCAGAGGCCCTCAAGGAGCAGATAGCGAAGCAGCTAACAGCGGCATGAGGGAGCCAGCAAGAGGGCGCTTACGCCGCCCCTCCTGGCAGAAGGAAGGAGGGAGGCGGAGGGAGGAGGACGGCGACTGCTGCAGCACCGCTGTAGTGGAGATAAACCATTCAGAAAGTACCCTCACCCCCCTTGGGGAGGCCCATGATTTCAGCGCAGGATATACGAATTAGAACCCGGGTGCCGGAACTGTTTTGTTGGGCGTCGGATTTCGTAATGTCCCCCCCCCCCCTTCCCCCCGACGCTCAGCAGTTTCGACGAATCAATCAGATTTTTTTGAATTATTTTGCATGTTTGCTCACAGTCTCTGCATTCGGCGGGCAACCAAATTTTGTTTCCTGGGTTAGAAAACAAGGGGGAGAAGAAGGAGGAGGAGGCCGCCCCCTTTTTCATGATTATTATGACGACTACCACCTTTCCTACCACTACGACTAGAAGGAGAAGGAGGAGGAAGAGGAGGTATCATTATTATGACTCTTACCAGCACTCTTACTACTACTACTACTACTACTACTACTACTACTACTACGAGTATTATTATTATTACTACTACTACTACTACTACTACTACCATTGCTACTAGTACTACTACGATTACCACTCGTACTACTACTACTACTACTACTACTACTACTACCACTGCTGCTACTACTACTACTACTACTACGACTACTACTACTACTATACTACTACTACTACTACTACTACTACTATTATTACTACTACTACTACTACACTACGACTACTACTACGACTACTTCTACTACTACTACTACTACTACTACTACTACTACTACTACTACTACTACTACTACTACTACTACTACTACTACTACTAACTACTACTACGACTACTACTACTACTTTTACTACTACTACTACTACTACTACTACTACTACTACTACTACTACTACTACTACTACGGCTACTACTACTATACTACTACTCCTACTACTACTGCTACTACTACTACTACTACTACTACTACTATTACTACTACTACTACGACTACTACTATTACTGCTGCTACTACATTACTACGACTACGACTACGACTACGACGACTACTACTACTACTACTACTACTACTACTCCTACTTCCTACTATTATTGCTACTACTACTACTTCTACTTTTATTTCTTCTACTACTCTATTACGACGACGACGACGACTACTACTGCTACTACTACTACGACTACTACGACTACGGCGACGACGACTACTACTACTTTTGTTTTTTTCTGACTACTACTACTACTACTACTACTACTACTACTACTACTACGACGACTGCGCTTTTCTGCAAATTCTGTTATTACTGTTAGGACTACTTCTACTACAACCACCACAACCACTAGTATTTCTAGTATTACCACTACTACTACTACTACTACCACTACTACTACTACTACTACTACTACTACTACTACTACTACTACTACTACTACTACTACTACTACTACTACTACTACTACTAGTACTGCAACTACTACTACTACTACTACTACTACTACCGCTACTCCTCCTCCTCCTCCTCCTCCTACTACTACTACTTACTACTACTACTACTACTACTACTACTACCACTAGTGCTGCTACAACTACCACTACTACGGCTACTACTACGAATACTACCAGCACGATTACCACTACTACTACTACTTTCACTACTACTTCTACTACGACTACTACTACTACTACTACGACGACGACTACTACTACTACTATCACTACTACGACTACTGCTTCTACTGCAACTATTGTTAATACTACCTACAACCACCACCACCACCACCAGTAGTATCACTAGTATTACCATTACTACGACTACTACGACTACTACTACTACTACTACTACTACTACTACTACTACTGCTACTACTACTGCTACGACTATTATTTTTATTGTTGCAATTTGTACTACTACTATTACGACTAACGGGTCAAGTATGGAAGGACGGGGTTTGGTTTGTGTTTGGGTTTTGGCTTCTGGGTTTCCTACTGTTTCTTTTTGAGCCCAGTGATTCCGAATGATTCCGGTTGATTCATATTGATTCCGATTGCTTCTTTCGGATTCCGATTGCTTCCGATGGACCCCAAAAGATCCCCATTGATCTCGATGGTGTCCCACGGATTTCTATTAGTCCCGATTGAGTCGAGTTGTTTCCTCTTGACTCCCGGTGACTGGTCTTGATTCCCATTGATTTCTATGAAGTCCGAGTCATTCCGATTGATTCTTATAGATAAAATTATTCGCGACGGATTCTTACGGATTCCGATGGATTCCCACCGATTCCTTTTGGTCATCAGGGCTCTCCAGGAACATGTAGAGATCAGCTGGAATCTGTTGGGGCCGGTAAGGACCTTCAGGACCCACGAGGCGTTCTTCCAGAAGTCTTTCTGGGATTTTCCGAAGGATCCTCTGGAATCATCGGGGGCCCGGGGGCGTCATCGGGAATCTTTGAGAAACTATAGGAAGCCAAAAGAATGCTCAGGAATCGAGGGGAGACCTTATCAGGAATCGAGGGGAGACCTTATCAAGAATCCCCGAGCATATTTTGGAATCCTTAGGAATCCCCAGGAATCATCAGAAATGATGAGAAATCAGGAGAAGGCCTTTGGAATCCGATGGAACTTGTTCGAGGGATCCTGAGGAATCACCAGGAGACAAAGGCGTCCTCGTCCTCGGGAATCTTCCGGAACCCATCGGAATGTTCAGGAAATCGCAAGAACGTTTAGAAACCCGGAGGAATCGTGAGGAACTTTTGATAAGAATCCCCGGGGAATCTCCGGAATCCGGAGGAATCCCCAGGAATCGTCAGCGTTGGCGATAAATCCCCAGGATGCTTCAGGAGCCCGTGGGGATTATCCGAAGAATGGCTCGGTAGAATTAGGAGCCCAGGAGTACATATGAAGCAGGAGCCGAATAATCCTTTGGTAGTATCATCCGGGAATCTTCAGGAAATTGTCGGAATCTCCAAGAATCCGCGAATCCACAGGAATTCTCGGGAATCGTATATATATATATATATTAACGAACAACATCCGGAGATCCTGACGAATACGGAAGAATCTTCACTCATCAGCGCTGACGAGAAATCCTCGGGAACCAGATGCATCTCAATTGTCTTTATGGATTTTCGGAAATCGGAATGAATCCTTAAGAATCCAGCCATAAGTGGTTCGCAGAAATTCCATATTCAGCGCAAAGAGCTCGACCCGCTGTATTGACCCCGAACCAGTTAACCAGCCACAAGCAGAACGGCACCATATTATTATACATACTCGTACCACCATTATGACTTGTATTACTACTACTACTACTACTACTACTACTACTACTACTACTACTACTACTTTATTATTATGAACACCCTACTACGTATACGCGTACTACTACTACTGCTGCTACTACTACTACTACTACTACTACCACTACTACTACTACTACTACTACTACTACTACTACTACTACGACTACTACTAACATATATATGTATATACCATTCTTTGTAATTTTAGTAGTACTACTTCCATTTCTACTTCTACTACTACTACTACTACTACGACTACTACTACTATTTCTACCCAACTACTACTACCACTACTTTTGGTTATGCTTATTATTACTACTACTACTACTATGTCTACTACTATCACGAATACTATTACTACTACCGCCACTGCTACTACTACTACTACTACGACTACTACTACTACTACTACTACTACTACTTCTACTACTACCTTTACTACTACTACTACTACGACTACGACGACGACGACTACGACTACGACTACTACTACTACTACTACTACTACTACTACTACTACTACTACTACTACTACTACTACTACTGCTACTGCTACTACTACTACTACTACTACTACGACTACTACTACTACTACTACTACTACTACTACCACTATTTCTTCTACTTCTACGATTCCTCCACTACGACGATTATCAGTACTACTTGTATTATTTCCGCAATCGGTGCTTGCACTGACGGGGTCCTCGCGGAAGTTGAAGGATTTGGCGATCGTGTCCCGCCGATTTTGCTCGCACGCTGGGTTCCCGGGTTCTCGGCTCTGGGTTTCCAGGTTCCCGATTTGGGTTTCCGGGCAGCTTTCGGAAAGCGGCGAGGTTCCCGGGTTCCCGGGTTCTTGGTCGATTTTCTGACCGATCGGTCTCACCATCGATTTCATTACCCACTTTTCTATCGATCTCACCATCGATCTAGTTATCGATCGCACAAGCGATCCCACTAGAGATCGCATTAGCGATCTCGCGATCGATCTCACTATCAATGTCATTGCATCGATTTCATTATCCGTTTCACCATCGACCTTACAACCGTCCTCATTGTCGATTCCACAATCGATCTCATTTTCGATCTCACAATCGATCTCAATATCTATCGTATACTACAAATCATCGAATGATTATGTTTTCTCTGGCGTAATACTACGAATTCGAATCGCGTTACTATATTTTTATTATTATACTACTGCTGCTACTACTACTACTACTACTACTACTACTACTACTAGTACTACTACTACTACTACTACTACTACTACTACTACTACTACTACTACTACTACTACCATTGGTACTACTGGTACTACTGGTACGAGTACTACTACTACCACCACTACTACTACTATTACCACTACTACTACCACTAGTGTTGGTACTACGACTACTACTACTATTACTACTACTGCTTTTACTACTACTAGTAGTAGTACTACTACTACTGCTACGACTGCTTCATCTAGTATTACTACGACGACGACGACAACGACGACGACTACTACTACTACTACTACTACGACTACTACTACTACTACTACTACTACTACTACTACTACTACTACTACCATTACCACTACTACCACCACACTACTACTACCAGTACGACTGCAACTGCGAGTACTACTTTTACTATTTCGTCTACTTCTATTACGACTACCACTTCTAGCAGTGTTGCGGTTACAAGTGTACTCTTACGACTACTACTACGACTGTTGGCACTCGTCGTGTTACTCCTATCTCTGCTGCTACGACCAGGAAACCAGAAT